TTCGTCTATTAACTCAGCGAGTGTATCTGCATGCAGTGCAGCACTGTTGCTGCTGCTGCTGCTGCCAGCTTCCCTTGCTGCTGCTGCTGCTGCTGCTGCAGGGAAGAGTCCTGCTGCTGCTGCACCTGGTCCAGGTGCAGCAGCAGCGGCTGCTGCAGCAGCAGCAGCAACTGAATCCAAGCGATCTACATCTACCTCAAAGTTATTTGCTGCTATATCTGAATAGCTGTCTGCTGCTGCTGCTGCTGCAGCAGCAGCAGCAGCACCAGGTGTCTTTGCTGCTGCTGCTGCTTCTGCGTCCTCTGCTTCCTCAAGATCGATAGCATCATCATCTTGCTGCTTCCCTTGCTGCTGCTGCTGCATTTGCTGCTGTTGCTGCTGCTGCAGTTGCTGCTGCTGCTGCTGCTGCACCTCGTCTGCTACCTCAGGGAATCCAAGGAGTTTAAGGGCATCAATAACATCATGATGACCAATGGTCTGTCTTCTTGCTGCTGCTGCTGCTGCTGCTGCTGCATCAGCAGCATATATAAGAAATAAGGAAGCACATCTACCTAATGCAGCAATAGATCTGCTGTCTCCTCTTACTGCAGCAGCAGCAAGTTGCTGCTTAACTATACGTTGGACATTTGCTGCTGGTAGCTGAAATAATTCACTACTGCTGCTGCTGCTGCTGTTGCTGCTGCTGCTGTTTGCTGCTGATGACTCTCCTGCTGCTCCTGCTGCTGCAAAAGAGTGCGGAGGTGCAGCAACAAACTCACAGTCAACATCCATGCTAGCTAAATATACTTGATGCTCCTGCTGCTGCTGCTGCTGCTGTTGCTGTTGCTGTTGCTGCTGCTGCTGCTGCTGCTGCTGTTGCTGCTGCTGTCGTTGTTGCTGCTGGAGTTGCTCGCCTTACAGACGGCTAAGCAGGAGGTTGTCTTCCTGTGCTGCTGTTGCTGCTATCTCTGCTGCTGCTGTGTTGCAGCTGCTACGGGTGCTGCAGTTGCTGTTGCTGTTGTTGCTGCTGCTGTTGCTGCTGCTGTTGCTGCTATACTTGCTGCTGTTGTTGCTGGTGTTGTTGCTGCTGCACTGCTTCATGCGGTTGTCTTTATACTTTGTTCAATCCGGCTGCATTAAACAAGAAAGTAGGGTAAACCCTTTTTTAGGGTTTAGGGTTTAGGTGTGTACACCTGAGAATTAGGGTTTTGAGGGTTTTGAGGACAGGAGGGGTTATATAGGTGGGGTTGTGTGTTTATTAATTATATTTATTTATTATTTATATATTATTTATATTTAATAAGAAAAAAGAAGTATTTTAATCCTTTATTTTGCATATTTAGATATATTTACTCCTCAAACCCTAAACCCTAAACCCTAAACCCTAAACCCTAATAAAAAAAAAAACCCTAACCGCTCGGGTGGCGCAACACGAGGAGGGCCCCGCGGGTCTGTATTATATAATTAGGGTTTGTGTATTTATATTTTATATTTATTCTTTCTTTTATAATTATTTATTATTTGTCTTTATATTAATGCATTTAATTTGCTGCTTTTAATTTGCTGCTTCTTATGGTGTACATACACCGCAGCAATTAGAGCAGCAGCAGCAGCAGCAGCAGCAGCAGCAGCAGAATGACCCTACTGAGGGTGAGGAAGCAGGATGCGCTGCTGCTACTGCTACTGCTACTGCTGCTCCTCCTTAGTTATGCTGCTGTGTGCTGCAGCAGCAGCTACTCAACGCTGCCATGGCAGCTGCTGCTGCTGCTCAAATTGCTGCATCTCTTGCTGCTGCCGCTGCTGCTGCTAGCGCTGCTGCTACCCTTCCCTACAACCACTGTTGCGCTGCTGCACCCAGCAGCAGCGGCAGGAGGGGGAGGTGAGAGAGTTCTATGGGCCTTAGTAGCGCATCTGCTGAAGCAGCAACAGCAGCAGCAGCAGCAACAGCAGCAGCAACAGCAGCAGCAGCAGCAGCAACAGCAGCAAGCGGTGGAAGCATCTTCAGGCGATTGCAGCAGCAATCTGTCGAGTCTTCGCCTGAGAGCTAAGAGTAGCAGCAAGACACAACAGCAGCAGCAGCAGCACGCAACTGGCAGCAGCAATGCAGCAGCAGCAGCAGCAGCAGCAGCAGCAGCTTCGTGTGTCTGTGAAGTTCCTGCTGCAGTTGCGGTGTATGTACAGAGCGATTGTCCTTGGCTAAGGGGGGCCCCTGTCTCTTATCAGCCTGTAGGAGGGGAGCCGCTGCTGCTGCAGCTGCTGCTGCGGCTGCTGCAGCAGCTGCTGCAGGTGCTGCTGCCTGGGCAGCAGCAAAGGAGAAGGCAGCAGATCTGCTGCTGCATATCCAAGCTGCTGCTGCAGCGCCGCTGCTATCCGGTGTATAGGGACAGTGCATGCAGCAGATCTGTTGCTGCTACCTTTGGTATAAAGCTTGATGAGTTGCTGCCATCAGCAGCAGCAGCAACAGCAACAGCAACAGCAGACAACAACAGCAGCAGCAACAGCAGCTGCAGCAGCTGCAGCAGCTGCAGCAGCAACAGCAGCAGCAGAAGCCCGCTGGTTTTAGTTCCTGTGCGATTAGGGTTTCTTGCAGATCCTCGTCATTATAGCTGCTGCACTTTGCTGCTGCAGCTGCTCGGTGCTGCTGCTGCTGCTGCCGAGGCACTCTTGCTGCTGCTGCCATCAAGGCTTGCAGACACCACAGGGCTGCCTGGTGCCCATCTGCTGCTGCTGCTGCTGCAGCCGCTGCAGCGGTTGCAGCAACTCATCTGGAGGACCCTATTCGCCCCCAAAGTCCCTGATGGTGAGCTGCAGCAGCAGCAGCAGCAACAGCAGCAGCAGCAGCAACAGCAGCAGCAGCAGCAGCAGCAGCACGAGGGACTGACAGGTTTTTCCGCTTATGTGCATTATCCCTTTACTAGGAGGCCGTGTGACGTTGCTGCAGCAGCAGCAGCTCAGGAAGCAGCAACAGCAACAGCAACAGCAGCAGCTGCTGCAGCACCAACTTCAGAGCAGCTATCTGCTGCTGAGGTAGCGCAGCAGCAGCAGCAGCAGCAACAGCAGCGGTGCTGTTCTCGAGTGTCTGGGCAGCTGCGGTATTTATACCGTTGGACCTTATGGCGTATTTATAGTTTGCTGCTGCGCTCACTGCAGCAGCAGCAGCAGCAGCAACAGCAGCAGCAGCAGCAGCAGACTGTACCTCTCAATTGCTGCTGCTGCAACAGCAAATGGACGCAGCAGATGCTTGCAAATATTGCTGATATAGATATCAGCAGCAGCAGCAGCAGCAACAGCAGCAGCAGAAGCAGCAACAGCAGCAGCAGAAGCAGCAAGGAAGGCTGCCCCACTGCGCTGTTTGCTCCTGTGTGCTATCCTCCGTGTCTCTCTCCTGAGCAGCAGCAGCAGCTGCAGCAACAGCAGCAACAGCAGCAGCAACAGCAGCAGCAGCAGGACGACCTTCATGATGATTGGACTCTTTTGCCGGACCCTTCGCAGCAGCAAGATCATCATCACCAGCAGCAGCAACAGCAGCAGCAGCAACAGCAGCAGCAGCAACAGCAGCAGCAGCAACAGCAGCACCAGCAACAGCAGCACCAGCTGCAGCAGCAGCAGCAACAGCAGCAGCAGCAGCAGCGTAAGAATAGGATAATATCTGTAGGACAATTTCGTATAGAGAAGCAGCAGCAGCAGCAAATAGATATATTGAGGTGTATGTACACCTCGTTCCCGCTGCTGCTGCTGCCCTTAACACATTTATTAATATGTGGATCTATAAGAGGGCATGCAGATTATCTGCTGCTGCTGCAGTGTAGGGAGCACTGCAGCAGCAGCAACAGCAGCAGCAGTAGTAAATGCAGCAGCAGCAGCAGCAGCAGCAGCAGTGATGAAGAAGAAGCAGCAGCAGCAGCAGCAGTGTTGAGGGGAGAGACTGTGCTGCTGCCAGCAACTCGTTGTGCTGCACCATTGAATATATCTACTGTTGCTGCTGCTGCTGCATCTGCTGCTGCAGCAGGAGGTGCAGGACCATCAGGAGCAACAGCAGCAGCAACAGCAGCAGCAGCAGCAGCAATAGAGACATATATAGATAATATATTATATAATATTAATCCTTTGTCTCCTTTTTGCTTCTTTCTTGTTAATCCCCACACTTTGCTGCTGCAGCACATGCTGCTCACGGCTAAGGTAAGAAAAAAGCAGCAGCAGCAGCAGCAGCAGCAGCAGCAGCAACAGCAGCAACAGCAGCAAAATATCTTTTGTCCCTCCCTTTCTATTAATACTTAGCTCGTTGCATGCGCGTTGTTGTTGTCTCCTATTCTTCTCATTCTTTCTGCTGCTGTTGTTGCTGCTGCTGCTGCTGTTGTTGTTGTTGCTGCTGCTGCTGCTGCTGCTGCTGCTGCAGGTGGGCCTTCATACTATGCAGGAGGAGCACTTTGGCATTGCTGTTGTGCAGCAGCTAGCAGCAGGTTGCTGCTGCGTTGCTCACTGCAGCGGCGGACCTAAGACAGATATTCTTGTTGCTCGTCCTGCTGCTGCTGCAGCTGCTGCTGCTGCAGCTGCTGCTACTGGTGGCGTGGCTGGTCCTGCCGCAGCTGCAGAGACTGTGCATGGACGTCACCCGCAGCAGCAGCATCAACAGCAACAGCAGCAGACTCAGCAACAGCAACAGCAGCAGCAGCAGCAACAGCAGCAGCAGCTGGAGGAAGCAAGGAGTTTGGCGCTGCAGTGCTGCGGCGAGTTTGGTTTCTTGTGTACAGACAATCGGTCATTTGCTGCTTGCTGCAGCATAGCGCTGCTGCACCCTCCTGCTGCTGCTGCTGCATCTCCTGCTGCTGCAGCAGCAGCAGCAGCAGCAGCAGCAGCAGAGGAAATCGTAGCGCCTCTGCTAAAGAGAGCAGCACAATCCCTCTCCCGATTTGCAGCAGACGAAGCAGCAGCAGCAGCAGCAGCACGCGTGCTGCAGCTGAGGCCCCACACTAGCTGTCTGCCGCAGCAGCAGCAGCAGCAGCAGCAAAAGCAACAGCAGCAACAGTAGTAGTAATAGTAATAGTAGAAGTGCCAGCAGCAACAGCAGCAGCAGCAGCAGCAGCGGCCCCGTCGCAGTTGCTGCTGTAGCTGGAAGTGTGCCCCCTGCTGCTGCTGCTGCTGCTGCGGTGGTGGCAATGCCTGCTGCAGTTGCTATAGTATCTGGTGCTGCAACTGGCTGCCGCTGCTGCTGCTGCTGCTGCTGCAGTCGCTGCTGCTGCAGCAGCTGCTGTTGCTGCAGCAGGTAAGACAGCAGCTCTCCGTTTTTTTTTTTCTATAAACGCATAAAGTTGTCTATCTGTCTCTTCTTGTAGCTTGCTGCTGCTGCTGCTGCAGTTGCTGTTATTGGTGCTGCTCTTCCTGCTATAGGCGCTGCTATGGGTGCTGCTGCTGCTGCTTCTGCTGCTGCTGCTGCTGCTGCTGCTGCTGCTGCTGCTCCATAGCAGCAAAAGGAAGAAAACAAACTAAAAATATTATGTTGTACTTTAAACGATATCATCAACAACCAAAAGCAGCAGCAGATGCTGCTGCTGCTGCTGCAGCAGATGCTGCTGCTGCTGCAGCAGATGCTGCTGTAGTAGTTGCTGCAGCTGCTGCAGCTGCTGCGGCAAAAGGTTAAACAGCAGCAAACAAATGGAAAATGACGATACTGCTGCTGCTGCTGCTGTTGCTGTTGCTGCTGCTGCTGCTATTTATTGCACCATTTGCTGCCGTTGCTGCTATTAACAGTTACTACTGCTGCTGCTGCTCGAACTCAAGCGCAGCAGCAGCAGCAGCAGCAGCAGCAGCAGCAGCAGCAGGAGTTATTATTATTAAGGAAAGGGTGTGCTGCTAGAGTAGAATGGTATCCTTGAGGATAATGCCTGTCTGCTGAGTGCTGCTGCTGCTGCTGCTGCAGCAGCAGCAGCAGCAGCAGAATTTTTTTGTGTATAATTTTTATAATTAATAATATTTTTATGTATTTGTTTATTATTATTATTTATTTCTTTTTTATTATTATTATTATTATTTATTTGTTTATTATTATTATTATTATTTATTTCTTTTTTTTTTTCTTTTTTTTTTTTTTTTTTTTTTTTTTTTATACAAAGACGTAAATGATGAGAAAATTCTCTTGGCTGTATGCACAAATAAATAAATAAATAAATAAATAAATAAATAAATAAATAAATAAATAAATAAATAAATAAATATAAATATAAATAAATAAATAAATATTTATTGTTATATACTATATGTACAGCAACCGCGATGTTTGCATACGAGACAAATACTGCAGCAGCAGCATTAGCAGCAACAGCAGCAGCAGCAGCAGTATCAGCAGCAGCAGCAGCAGCAACAGCAGCAGGAGGAAGGACTTACATTAATTATGTTGCTGCAATGTTTGCATGCAATTAGAGAGAAATGCTGCAGCAGCAAACAGCAATCTGCATGCTGCACTATCTCTCTTATCCATCTATCTTCTTCTTCTTCTTGCTGCTGCTGCTGTTGCTGTACGTGCTGCTGCTGTAGCTGCTGCTGCTGTAGCTGCTGCTGCTGTAGCTGCTGCTGTTGCTCCTGGTGGTGGTGATGATGATGATGGTGGTGGTGGTCGAGCTGCTGCTGCTGCTGTTGCTGCTGTTGCTGCTGGTGGTGGAGGTGGTGCAGCAGCTGCTGCAGTTGTTTGTCTTCCACCGAGCCCACAGTCACCGGTGCAGCAGCAGCAGCAGCAGCAGGAGAATCTGCATGAGCAGCAGCAGCAGCAGGAGAATCTGCATGAGCAGCAGCAGCAGCAGGAGAATCTGCATGAGCAGCAGCAGCAGCAGGAGAATCTGCAGCAGCAGCAGCAGCAGCAGCAGATGTCTGCGAATCACCACCTTCGCATGCACCACCAACTTCCCTCTTGAAACTCCTGTCTTTGTTGTTGCTGCTGCTGCTGCTGCTGCTGTTGCTGTTGCTGCTGCTGCTGCTGTTGCAACGGTGGAGACGGCAGCGGCAATTGCTGCACCAATTGCTGCTCCTGCTCCTGTCCTCGGTGCTGCTGCTGCTGCTGCTGTCCTTCTGCACCTCGACTGTGCCTGCAGGTAAGCATACAGCAGCAGGAGTCGGTGTGGCCGGGTCTGTTGCTGCTGCTGCTGTTGCTGCTGCTGCTGCTGCTGCTGCTGTTGTTGCTGCTGCCGCTGCATCTGATCCCTTTCCCCTTATGGTGCAGCCGCTGGGGCTGCTGCCTCTCCGCAATTTGCTGCTGTTGCGGGCATGCAGGAGCTGCTCGTGCTGCAGCTGCACCTGCTGCAGCTGCTGCCGTTGCTGCTGGACCTGCTGCAGTAGACGGAAGCAGCCACTGCAAGATAGCTGCTGCTGCGCTGCTGCTGCTGTTATTTGTGCTGCTGTCTCCTTGCTGCTGGTCCCCCGCAGCGCCAGAGAAAGAGACACTTCATGACTGCAGCAAACAAACACGCATGCAATGAGGAGACTTTGCTGCTGCTGCTGCAGTCCCTGCAGCAGCAACAGCAGCAGGAGCAGAAATTGAAGCAGCAGCAGCAGCAGCAGCAGCAGCAGCAGCACAAGCATGCAGCACCTATACCAGCTATAAAACCACCGCAAAAAACAACCAGACCTGCTGCAGCAGCAGCACGACCAGCAGCAGCAGCAGCAACAACAGCAGCAGCAACAGCAGCAGCAGCAGCAGCAGCAGCAGCAATTACCTCATCCTTAGACTAGCAATCTCCTTATGATGTAATTCTTGCTGCGTTTTTATTTGCTGCTCAAGAAGAGCAAGACGTTCATATAACCATACAGACACAGACGAGCAGCTAGGCTGCCGCTGCGCTGCTGCTGCTGCTGCTGCTGCTGCTGCTGTATCTGCTGCTGCTTCTGGTGGCGGTGGTGGTGCTGCTGAAGGGATTTGATGGGGTGATAGGACGGGAGAGAGAGGCGACACAGGAGGAGTGCAGCAACAGTCGTCAGCAACCTGCTGCTGCTGCTGCTGCTCTTGCTGCTGCTCTTGCTGCTGCTGCTGCTGTTGCTGCCCTTCTTTCTGCTGCTGCTGTCGTCGCTCCTCTTGCTGCTTCTGCTGCTGTTGCTGGAGAATGTATTCTGGGCATTCCCCTGTACATGCTGGGGATTTTGAAGGCACAGATGCTGCTGCTGCTGCTGTTGCTGCTGCTGCTGCTGCTGCTGCTGCTGCTGCTGCAGCTATACATTCTGTCTGCTGTCCACCCGACTCTGCTGCTGTTTGTGTATCTGCTGCTGCTGCTGCTGCTGCTGCTTCTGCTGGTTGTTCTGTTGTTGCTTCTTCTATTGCTGTTGCAGCTGCCTCCCTTGCAGAAGCTTCTGGCTGTGCCGCTGCTGCTGGTGCTGGTGCTGCTGCTGCTGCTGCTGCTGCTGCTGCTGTTGCCGGTTCTGCTGCTGATTCTGTTGCTGCCATCTGGACCCGCCAGTATTCTTGTGGGGTGTTTAATGCTGCTGCGTTCTGCTGCTGCACAGCTGCTGCTGCTTCTAGCCGCTGCTGCAGCAGCAGCTGCTGCTGTCCCTGCTGCTGCACGACTTGCTGCTGCTGCATGGCTCCCACCTGCTGGTTGCTGGTGGCGTTAATGCCGTTCGCAGCAGCAGCTGCTGCTGCTAGGACCACTGCTGTTGCTGCTGCTGCTGCTGCTGCTGTTGCTGCTGCTGCTGCTGTTGCTGCTGCTGATCCCCTGCTGCAGTGGTAGCAGTATTAGGAGGCAACATACGGACAAACGGCTGCAGACTTGCTGCCCGCTGCTGTTGCTGCTGCTGCTGTTGTTGTAGACATTGGTTATACAGCCAGCCGTTACTGTTGCTGCTGCTGTTGCTGCTGCTGTTGCTGCTGCTGTTGCTGCTGCAGTTGTTGCTGCTGCTGATTGAATTGTGCTGCTGACTTCTGCTGCTGTCTTTACATGAGAAAAAAAAGAAATAATTAAGAGACAATAGTATTATAAACAACCTTGCTGCGAGACATCGAGCAGTGGTTCGCTGCTGCTGCTGCTGTTGCTGCTGCTGCTGTTGCTGCTGCAGCTGCTGCTGCCTCGCCTTAGATATATGCCTCTTATAGAAGATCTATTTATAACAATAAAGGAAGACAAACAGAAAAGTGTGTAACAACACAAAGAGTTAGTTGGTTGCTGCAGTACTGGGGCCAGCAGCAGCAGCAGCAACAGCAGCAGCAGCAGCAGCAGCAGCAGCAGCAGCTCACCCGCTGCCGAAGGATTGGCTAAGGGCCCTTGCTGCTGTGTTATTCTTTTAAGGATTTGTCTGTCTATGGATATATCCTTTATCTTCTTTCCTTTATTATATATATAAGAGGCATTTGCTACTGCTGCTGCTGCTGTTGTGCTGCTGCTGCTGCTGCTGTACTACTGTTGCTGCTGCTCTGCTGCAGCGCCGGTTCCATAGCGTCTCTGTGACTCCCTCCTGCAGTGCAGCAGCAGCAAATTTTGCTGCTGCTGTTCTCTTTTTATTCTTTCCTTATAAGTATAAGCAGCAGCTGCAGCGGATCGGGCAAGCAGGAGTACCAGCAGCAGCAGCAACAGCAGCAGCAGCAGCAGCAGCAGCGGTCAGCTACTGAATCGTTGGGACCAGCAGCAGCGGCAGCAGCTATTGCTGCTGCTGCTGCAGCAGCAGCAGTTAGGCAGCAGCTCGTGCTGCTGCTGCAAGGACAGCACAAGACCTGCAGCTCTGTTTGTGTAGACCTGTTATAGAGGTGCTCCACTTGCTGCTGCTGCTGCTGCTGCTGCTGCTGCTGCTGCTGCTGCTGCTGTGAGAATGAAGGACAATGCGCGAGAGTTAGAGGAACGTCTTATGGACAGCAGCAGGGATGTTGCTGCTGCATGCAACTGTGGGGCAGCAGCAGCAGGACCATTTGCTGCAGTAGGTATTGTGCAGCAGCAGCAGCAGCAGCAGGATCAAGAGGATCAACAAGAACAGGATGATGATGAGGATCAACAACAGCAGCAGCAGCAGCTGCAGCTGCAGCAGCAGATGCTGCTGCAGCGCAGCAGCAGCATAGGAGAAAGGGTTTTCTTTAGGGGTTTATTATTATTCAAGATATTCTTTGGTGCTGCGCTGCTGCTGCTGCTGCTGCTTGCTGCTGTTCATCTAGATACAACAGCTAATCTACTCAGGGAAATTATTGCAGGGGTAAATTATGCTGCTGCTGCTGCTGCTGCATTTGCTGCTGCTGCTGCATTTGTTGCTGCTGCTGCTGCTGCATCTGCTGGTGATGGTGATGGTGCTGCTGTTGCAGTTGCTGTTGGTGTTGCTGTTGCTGATGATGCTGCTGCTGCTGAATTAGCTGCAGCAGCTGCTGCTGAATTAGCTGCAGCAGAAGCTGCTGCTGCATTTGTTGTTGCTGCTGCTGTTTGTATTTTTGTCATTCTGTCTGCTGCTGTTGCTGCTGACTAGTGATGGCACATTAGGGTTTAGGGTTTAGGGTTTAGGGTTTAGGGTTTAGGGTTTGTGTGCAGGTGCAAGACTTGGGTGGTTTTGCTCCTTTTGCTTATATAGCTTTGTATGTTTTGTTTATTGCTTGCTTCTTACCAGCTGAATTCATGGTGAGGGTTTAGGGTTTAGGGTTTACAGATTAGGGTTTAGGGTTTAGGGTTTAGAGACTAGGGTTTAGGGTTCAGGGTTTAGGCATACGACTCCTCAGCCTTCCGCGAACCGCTGTAGGCAGTCTTGGGTTACAGCATTGAGGGTTTAGGGTGTAGGGTTTAGAGATTAGGGTTTAGGGTTTAGGGATTAGGGTTTAGGGTTTAGGGTTTAGGGTTTGTGGTGTATTATTGTTCAGCACTTGGCAGCGGGTTTCATTTTCTCTCGTATTTATGGAGAAAGTTGTAAGATACATCTCCCTAGGGTTTAGGGTTTAGGGTTTAGGGTTTAGGGTTTAGGCAGTTGGTTGTATACGCATGGTGGATTCCCTAGGGTTTAGCGTTTAGGGTTTAGGGTTTAGGGTTTAGGGTTAATACGTGTTGCGTCCTCTCTCCATCAAAATTATGAATTTGTGTGTTTTTTTTTCTGCTGTGTGTGCCTCTGCTTCTGCTGCTGCTGCATCTGCTACTGCATCTGCTGCTGCTGCTGTTGCTGCTGCTGTTGCTGCTGTTGCTGCTGTTGCTGTTGCTGCTGCAGTGGGTATAGTAGTAGGATTTATATGTTCAATAATAGGTGCCTTATTATCGGGGCTTTTTTGTTTTTTAATAAGTCGTTATTTATTATATAATTCTTTGCATGCATGCATGCAAACTAATTATTTATTTAATGCATTTAATTCTGCTGTACAAGAAGGAGGAATTACTTTTGTTGCTCTTATTAGATTATCTCCTATTCTACCTTATTCTGTACGTATATATCTATTTAAGGGTTTAGGGTTTAGGGTTTAGGGTTTATGAGGGTTTATAAGGGTTTACGAGGGTTTACGAGGGTTTATGAGGGTTTACGAGGGTTTATGAGGGTTTACGAGGGTTTATGAGGGTTTAGGGTTTATATTGGGTGTATCTGCACCTGCTTCCTCTGCTGCTGCTGTTACTACTACTGCTGCTGCTGCTGCTGCTGTTGCTGCTGCTGCTGCTGCTGCTGCTGCAGTTAACAAGTTATTTATTTGGCGTAACATCTCTTAAGACTTCTCATCTATTATTAGGAACTCTATCAGGAACACCACGTAAACCCTAAACCCTAAACCCTAAACCCTAATAAACCCTAATAAACACTAATAAACCCTAATAAACACTAATAAACCCTAATAAACACTAATAAACCCTAATAAACCCTAGGGTGGTTGTTGGTGCTGCCTCTTATTGAGGGTTTATCTATTGAGGGTTTAGATATATTCATTTTCTTATTAATTAGGGTTTATATATTTTCCTTTTTTTATTAATTAGGGTTTAGGGTTTAGGGTTTTCTTTTTTTTTTTTTTTTTTTATTCGCAGTTATCCTTGCCTTTAATTTTATTGGCTCTGCTCTAGGTGACCTCAAAGACCTAGATATACGTAAGGGTTTAGGGTTTAGGGTTTAGGGTTTAGGGTTTAGGGTTTAGACTGGGTCCCACGTATATAAATATTATTTATATAATAAATATATAATATATTATTTTTATTTATTTATTTATTTATTTATTTATTTATTTATTTATTTATTTATTGCAGGTAATTTTTCTTGGACATGGCAAAGAATGAGTCTTGTCGCCTTGGGAATTATAATGGCTGCCGTGAGTGTTTAGGGTTTAGGGTTTAGGGTTTAGGGTTTAGGGTTTATATTAGAGGTCGTATTTTTTCCCGTAAAAAAAAAATACAGAAAGGATAAATATAAATAAATAATATAAATTTATTTATTTATTTATTTATTTATTTATGTATTTATTTATTTATTTATTTATTTATTTATTTATTTATTTATTTGTTTATTTGCTGCAGTTATCTATGGCATATATAACAGTTCTTACAAGACGTAAATTAGAGGCTGCATTTGCTGCTGCTGCTGCAGCAAGAGAGAGGCAGCAGCAGCAGCTCGTC